GTTAAGCAATTTTATCATTTGAACCAATGTGGAGATCCTGCCAGTTGCTGATTATGCCTATTCCAATTATGTACCCCAGAACTGGGGAAGTAACACAGAAGGGGTTTGGTGACCTCCTATGAGATGGATCTGAGCTAATATTCTGTTGATCACCTGATGTCCATAACCCCTACATTGACTGGTGGACCACAGTGATGTTTTGGGTCTCCTGGAATTAGCGTCCATTCAGAGCCAGTGTCCACTAATTTCCAAAAGTCTGATGATGTCCTTTCTCTTAAGTACAGTCACCCTGGTAAAAGGCCATATGTCCCTTTGGGGAAGGCTGGAAGAAAGACCAACAGCATAAATTTTTGGTAGTGTGGCTGAGTTCCTCCTCAAGGCACCTGGCCTTCCCTTCATTTGAGGGGTTCTGGGTTTGTAAACTGGCCTCATTCTGGGAAATGATTGAGGGTCTGTGACTAGTTTTATGGCTCAAGGTAGTCTTCCGTTTGCTTGACCCAGAACTCTTCCAGTTGTACAGATTAAGTAAGAATTGAGTAGACTGCCAGTCTGTTTCATTGCTAGTCGCCCCATGATCAGCTGGCCACTCCAGAGGTCTCCTGTTGGTTCTGTTTCTATGGAAAATGCTGGTAACAATAAGGGGCATGGGAAGGAGAAAAAAGGTATTAAAGTAGAAATGGTCTAGTTCTCTAAGAATCCAGAGGACAAAAGGATCCAATTCAATTATAAAATTTGAGAGCTTAAAAACTATCTTTTACCTTCTGGATTTTGTTCAGCAACATTGATAAATTTTGTTGGAGACAGAGCGTAATCACTGACCATAGGGAAACCAACTAATTTTTGTATAATTACGTGTCCAAGAACTAAAACTTGGTAGGAATCCAAATCTTCCAGAAATTATAGATCGCATGACTTCAGGCACATCACCAAATCCAAAAAGGCAAGTTTCAAAAGCAAAGAAGGCGAGGGCTTACATTGCTTCGCTCTGTCCTCATCCACATTGGCCTCGTCCACGGCTTGCTGTATCTCATCCAGCCAAAGCACTTTGGAAACACTCTCAGAGTCCTGGGAACAATGCCACAGAATAAAAATAAACAACAGTGAATAATGAGGAAACAGAATTAGTAACTGCTTTTGAGGAGCCATTTAATCATAATTCCCACAAATTCTCAATCAGCAACCACCCAGCTCTGCCATATACTGTACACACTCCTGATGAAGCTGACCCGAAACCTGACCACTTCTCCCTTCTTCCCTGCCACTCTTTAGTCCGGCCCTCCATCCTCTCCCATCTGGACAGCTGCTCTGGCCCCCTAGTGGGTTCTGCTACATCAAAGCTTGCCCTCACCACTGTGGCCCTCTACAGAGAGCCCAGAGGATCTCTTTAAAATAGATATTCAGTGCACCATCCTCTGCTTAAACCCTCCCCAAAGGCTTCCCCAGCTGTTAGAAGGAAACACAAACTGCCTGCTCAGGGACAGTGGGGTTCTATCTGCATGGCCCTGCCTACTGCCTCTCTGGCTGCACCTCACACCCCTATACCTCCCTGTTCCTGTTCTAGAGCTTCACAGGAGTCTCCTTCAGACCACAATACTCTATCCTCACTGTGTGGCTGCTGGCTTTTTCTTACCATTCAGGTCTCAACTCAAATGCTACCTACTCCAAAAAGTCTTCCTGGGCTACCCTAGTCAAATACTCTCTCCCTCAATCACTCAATTAATGTGGTTCCCAAACTTTATGTCAAGGTGCCCCAGGTTACCATGGGATATTTCTAATTTGAGAGAAACACAGGGATTGTCAATATTTACCAGAGAGACAAAAATGAAAAAGAAACAACAACATGGTGATTGTCCTTAAGGAGCTAACAATGTAGTGTAAGAGACAGATATGTCAAGACATATAGCTGGGCACCATGTCTCCTGCCTGTAATCTCAGCACTTTGGGAGGCTGAGGGGGGAGGATCACTTGAGGTCAGGAGTTTGAGACCAGCTTGGCCAACATGGTGAAACCCCATCTCTACTAAAAATACAAAATTTAGCCAAGCATAGTGGTGCATGCCTGTAGTTCTACCTACTTGGAAGATGGCAGAATTGCTTGAACCTGGGAGGTGGAGGTTGCAGTGAGCCGAGGTCAGGCCACTAAACTCCAGTCTGGGTGACAGAGTGAGACTCTGCCTCACATTAAAAAAAGAAAGAAAGAAAGAAGGAAAGAAAGAAAGAAAGAAAGAAAAATAATTATAATACAATGTGATCAAGGCAATATATGCTGCAGACACATGATCTAGAAATAGGCAGGAAAGGGTTAACCTATGGTAAAGGTGTTGAGTTGCAGGGGGAGCAAAGACTAAGTAGTGAAATATAGCTTTAGAAAGGAAGCAATAGCAGCAATGAAAATGTGTTGCATGATTCCCATTATAGGTAAATATTCCTATTTAACTTTGGGTTGATTCTGATGGTCCTGCTACAAATGCAGCCCTGGCAGACACTAAGTGGGACTTCCAAGTAAAAACTGTGTTTTATAAAATCCTGTCTGAGATCGCAAGTAAATTTTTATCAGCAGAGATATTTTCAGGAAAGGCGTGACGTTTAACAAATGGGAACATTTTACCTATGTGTAGGAATAAGCGTTGTGTTCTAAACCCTAAGTCAACTGTGATGAACGAAAGGCGATGGATTCGGTACCGACTTCGTCACTTAGGATTTAAGATGGATGGGGGCAGGAAGGGGAAGAATGGTCACTGGTTCCTCTGGCAGGCTTTTAACACTATTTTCCTCAGAGGCTAATGTGAGATAATGCATGGGAAAGGGCTCTGAAAATGAGATAAAATATCTGTAATTTCATCCTGCAACATCTGGGCTAAAGAAGGCCTCTGGGGAAGGCTTGGCGCCTGCTTCCGCCATCACCTCTGGCTATGTGGCAGACTACAAGGGAAGCATCAGCAAGATTTTCCATTATTTTCAAGAACGAATGGGGGAGGCTCAAACAGGAAGCAGGATGGAAAGGGGAAGACTAGAGGAGGCAAAAAGAGAGGGAAGTAGGAACTAATTTTTCTCTATTCACAACATCTAAGAAAACCCAACATTCCCCAGGCATAGCCTAAAAACTAAGCTCTATGTGTTCATTTATGTGTCTCAGTTCTTTTGAAGGGTATTTACCTTCCTTTATAACCTATCACTGTAGAAGATGCACCACACAAATTTTTACCCAGATGAGAAGGCAGTAACAATCTTACTTCAAAGCTTAAAGTATTAGTCTTATAAGCCAAACTGAAGAGAGAAGTTACAAATCAAATAAATTTAAGTCAACTGTTTAAATTATGACACATTAAACTAAAGGCTGCTAGAGTTAAATGTAAAACCAAGAGTAAAAACTGAATCCTATCAATGTGAAGTCTGCTTTCTCTTATTTATTTTATTTTTGAGATGGAGCCTTGCTCTGTCACCTAGGCTGGATCACTGCAACCTCTGCCTCCTGGGTTCAAGCAATTATCCTGCCTCAGCCTCCCAAGTAGCTGGGATTACAGGTACCTGCCACCATGCTTGGCTAATTTTTGTATTTTTAGTAGAGATTGGGTTTCATCATGTTGGTCAGTCTGGTCTCAAACTCCTTTCCTCAAGTGATCCTCCCCCCTCAGCCTCCCAAAGTGCTGGGATTACAGGAGTGAGCCACCACGCCTGGCCAAGTCTGCTTTTTCAATAGTTCATCAGAACACTGAAAATAGTAGTATGTTTATGGGACGGCCACCATGTGCAAATCAAGTCATAAATTCCTGAATTTAGATAACTCCCAGAAAAGCTCTAATTAAACAACAACAAAAAAAACCCTTTGTCAATATTTTATAGTTTTTATTTCTGCAATATAATAGCATTCTATCTCAGTTTGTATGACCATAAATTATTTAGTTCCAGTATTAAACACTGACCTTGGACCCTAAAAATCCTAATTTGATGTAATTTAATCAAGATGTGAGAGGTTTCCACAGATCACTTTCTTCCTAGCTTATCCCTACCTAGCCTTTAGGTCTCATGTGAAATTTGTATTTTCTAATTCTTGCTGCATTTTGCAAGGAGCAGGCTATTGGGCCGTTAGACTTCAAGTTTAAGTTTTATTAACTAATAATACAGTTTTTTTCATTAGTGTATATTAAGTCAGACTCTACAGAATATAACAATTCATAAAAGCTTGTATGTTGTACAACAATGTGACATAGTATTACTGGACTGTACACGTAATACTGTTAAGACAGTATATTTTATATTATGCATATTTTACCACTATTTAAAAAATCTTATTGTAGACTTCTTCACCAGCACTCATGGAATAAAGGGAGTCCTCCTCATTTTAATGATGTGCTATGATTTTAGTTTAATTGAACAATGCTGCTTGGGAGGTCTCCCCAGTTATCTGACCCTAAGAGTTATTGAATGGCTAAAAACACATCAAAATAAGGCAAAAAAAAAAAAAAGCCAGAACAAACCCTATCCTCATGTTTCAAAGAAAAAGGTCCACCACTGAAAAGCCAACTTCTGGCCAGGCACTGATGACAAAGTCAAATCAATATGACATCGATGGAAAATGTTCAAAGTAATTGAGCACCCAATTTTAATTTCTTAAAAAATGTTTGCTTTCCATGATTAATATAATTTGTAATTTATGTAAGGTGTTTTGGGAAGATCCAGCAAAGGATAATTTACTAAGTGGAAATCACACTCTGGAACTGCATTTTTAAAATGGATAAGAAATGAAATACGGGACAGATTCAAAACTTACTGCTGCTCAGCATCTGTTTTTGGGATAGTTCTGTAAAGTCCTGCATAATTTCAGCCATTCTTTAAATGCAACATACTGGTGGAGAATTACAGCACTTATTCAGAATGGACTATTAGGGGTGGGTAAGAGTTAAATGCCTTCCTCCAGGGATAATGTAACATGCTCAGAGGCTCCCCTGAGTCATGCTTATTGAAACATCCTTTTCCTACGGAGGATCAAGGCAAGTTTCTTGCCTGCAGTGCACAGGAAAGCAAACTACAGACAGAAGAAGGCTTCCATTTGCTGCGGACACATGGAACTGAGGTGAAACTGCTTCATGATTTTACACATTTCATAAAGTTCAAGAAACGGGACTCAGGTCATCAAAATGAAAGCCTTCATCTTTGCAGCTGCTGGCCTCCTGCTTCTGTTGCCCACTTGTCAGAGTGGTAAGCGATTTCTCAGGGGGTAGGGTGGAGATTAGGGTTTGGGTTACAAATGAAGAGTCAACTGAACCTAGTTTTCCTTGTATCTCACACAAACTGCAAGCCCCAAAGGCAGTTTGATCTTTGTTATTAAAAGGTAGAATCATGGAAATGAACATCTATAGTTCGTTCACTCTATGCAAACCCTGGTCGAAGACTAAGTGTTCTTTCCTGTTGTTTAAAAATGTGTGGCATATTCAAGACATTAGAAGTCTACAATTAAATCAGGAAGCAATTTTCTTTGAGAGACGTTTTGGTGTTTTTAAGAATTTCTTCTGGTTAAGCAAAGATAGCACTATTTCAAGGGATTAAAAAATATATCCTGTGTTTATATCCTCTTGGTGAGATATAAATGGGAGAAACAAGAATATTGCCAGAAAGAGAAAATCATCTGCTTTCAATAGCTGGCAATGTTAATAAGACAGTATTTCCAAAATGAATGACCATTTTTGACTTTCAGTGGGGAGTTCTTCCCATCCTCATATATGATTTTTTTAATTTTAGAAATAAGGTCTCCCAAGTACTATTATTCAACCTTGAATGTACTTTCCATTTACCTATCACAATGTCAGCTTGAAACCTCCTGCTTTTCCCCAAAATAACAAATTTGAGATAGGTCTGTACCTGTCACTCTTTGACTACTAGGTCACACACTCCAGTCAACATTGTTAGGAGTGGGAGAGGCAAAGACCGGACACAGCAAGGGAAACGAAAACCAAAACCAACGCTTTCTAAAGGAGTATTGCTTAAATTAACAGTTGGAATCCCTGAGTTTTTACAGAGAGCTCTAAGAGATTTTGTGGTGATTAGCAGTTAAGTGCATGTGGGATTTATGAATACAGTAAGTGCAAGCTCTTCCTGGGAGAAGACAGGCCGATATGGTGAGCAGCAGAATTGCAAAAGAAACAAGGTTTTCAGGGGGTGGTTCCTTCAAGACACTAGTAGGGTCTGATAGAGGTGAAAATGGGGGCCTCTGAAACAAACACAGAGGCAGTGCATTTGCTTTCTTCCACAGGAGTGGGGAGAAATGAGAAGCAAGAATCAAGCAAGCTTGTTCAACCTGACTTCTTTTGCTGTTTTGTTGTTTTGTTTTGTTTGTTTCAGGCTTTTAGCAGCCTGATGCCATGGCTTTTACTTCCTGTCTTTAGTGATAAACAGAAAAGAGGGATGAGGAAGGGGCTTTACTGGCTCAACCAGAAACAAGCTATGAATCCATGACTATATTCTCTCCCTTGGACACCCCTGGGAGACTGGAGTTCTTGCCCTTTGGATTAGTTCTTCCAGGCCTTTTCCCAGATTGAAAAACATTTCGGAAATATTATGCCCAATGGAAACCTTTATAAAGAATTCAAATACATGAAAGAAAAATTAACAATGAGTACTATTTGTAAGGAAAACCAGTCTCTGAGGAATAAAGACTTACTTAAGTAAAATCAGATCTGGCATTCTTGTGGAAAATGGAATCATATCCATTTTTCCACAAAACGCAGGCACTGTTTGGCATGTCTGGAGACATAATGTCTTGCTCAATCCCAGAAATTTTCTGAAAACTGACAGACACTTGGTTTTAACAGCTTCTTAAAATCAGATCCTGCAGGTGAGTAACTTGTACAGCATTCTCTTCAGCCATCAGTCTCCAGCTTTGTGCCTGTCTTTAAAGGTACTTCTCTTTGGGTGATGTCAAATGCGAGAACTTGTCTAAAATGCTAAAGTGAGAAGGGTCTGTGTGACTAAACTCAAGTATCACACAACATACCTTCAAAGATCACCTCTAAATATAGGCACAGAAGAATGCTGCCTCCCACATTTTTCTTTTCTTTAATCTATCTTTTCTTAAATGACACCTAATCACCTTCATACCCGAAGTTATCAGGCCACACCTCTGTTGTACACAGTGAATTCAGCTTGTGCAATCTCAGGATTATGTGGGAGGTTTCCATTTCATCCTGGAGCTAACTGCTAGAGATTAAAGCAGAAAGAGGAACGGGCTCTGAATGAAAAACGTGTTACTAAACACTAACTTCAAGTATTCGATGAGGAGGAATTCTAAGGCCTTGGGGCAAAGCGCAACAGGCACAGTACTGGATATAAATTTAAATATAATATATTTGGCATAAAATATAATATGCCAATATAAATTTGGCATAAAAGTCCATCTTAAAGGTAACATCAGAAATCTGAGTCTATTTTCTATACATGTGAAAGATTTACAAAAAAGTTACATAATAATAAATGTGCAGGTTTGAGCTTTAAGATTTTGTTTTTGAAATTGCAGAAATTAGGATTATTAACATCAACATGCCAAGTAACACCAAATAATGATAGCAGATAGTTGATGTGTTTCTATCTTTTAAAAAACTTATTTCCAACTTCTTAGGTCCTCATGCTGATTTCACCTTCTGATTTTCCCCCCTTTGTTTCCTCTTCCCTTAAAATCTGTCATTTCCCCTAAAATTCACCTTTGGATTCTTTTTTTCTCGGAACTCTCCCTAGGCCTTCTCAATCACTCCCACTAAATTAAACTAGAGCCTCCACGCAGACTCCAATAAACCATGCCTCTAATTTGGGCTCCTGGAATTTTGGACCCACATACAGTCTTCTAACCAGTCGCTGGACATTTTACATACTAATATTCTACAAGTAATTCATCCTCAGTCAGACTAAAAAGATTGTAGCTTCTCCTCCATCCTGCCCCCTTGTCTCTTCCTCGGACTCAGTTAATGGTATCCTCTCCCTCCAAGTCATCTAGAGGGAAACCTGAGTCGTTATTGCCTCCTGCCCCTCCCTCACTGTACCCCAAAGCCAATCAGACACCAAGTCCCTCTGAGCAACCATCAGAGTCTCAGGTGTTTGCTGTTCCCTTTCTATGACCAACGCTCTAGCTCAGCAACTCACTAAGCTATGGATGACAGTAGCCTCCACATCAGGTCCCCTTGCCTCTAATTTCTTACCTTTTCAATCTATTCTCTATGCTGTCACCTAAGTCATCTTAAAAACAAGTCAAAATCATGGCTGTATTAGTTTCCTATTGCTGCTGTATCAAATTACCACAAATTGAGTGGCTTAAAACAACAGATTATCTTGTATTTCTGGAGATCAGAGGTCAAAATCAAGGCTGTTGGTGGGGTTGTGTTCATTCTGGAGGCTCTAGGAGAGAATCTGCTATCTTGCTTTTTTCAGCTTCTAGAAGCTGCCTGCACTCCTTGGCTTATTACCCTTTTTTCCGTCTTCAAAGCCAGCAGCATAGTATCTTCAAATCTCTGACTTTAAGCCTCTTATCTTCCCCTTACATGGACTCTTATGATTATACTGGGCCCACCTAGGCAATCCAGCAAAACCTCAATTTAAGATCCTTATCTAAATTACATTTGCAAAGTCCCTTTTGCTAGGTAAAGGAACATACTTGTAGGTTTCAGGAATTTGCAGGTAGAATCTTTGGGGAGTTGTTATTCTGCCTAACACAATGGTCACTCCTCTGTTCAAAATTGTGTGTGCAACCCTAGCATCTATGAACAGGCATGATTTCTTAGGACAGTTTAGAGGCCCTCCAGTAATTTAGCTGTCACCCACTCTTTCAATTTCCTTTCTAAGCTGTACCTTTTAGCATGAGACAATGCATTTTTATACATCTTCTCCACTAGTAGAGTTACTTACAGATAGAAACGGAGTTTATTTAAAGCTTTATACCACTGACATGTAAGTGTACAATAACAATTTGCTAAATCAACTTATCTGGCATTCCCAGATCTTATGATAGCCCACACTATGCTGCTGCCCATTCATCATCAGCAGAATCTTACTCATTAAATTCCATCTTTTTATGAATCTTGCTTGTCTTTGCTCAAATTCATCTTTTCCTTGACATTTTGCTCAAACACCTGAATCTATTAAGTATTTTCTGAATGCCTATACAGTTTATAGTCAACATGCCTATAATGTTCTGATGTGCTATTTTTGTTTCTTCCAGTAGTATTATAAACACCTTACACACAATGAGTGATTATTTAGTTTTTGTTTCTGCATGAGATAGTGTTGTTCTGGGGCAGATGATATGTATTGAGTATATACTTGTTGAGTGCCTAATCTATAATTTTTAAAAATAAAAATGATCTTAAATTCTACAATCACAGAAATTATGTAGCATAAAACACATTGTTTTCTTTTCTCTTGAACCATAAATATATGTGAATACTTCCTTTCAATTACAGGCATGGAAAATGATACAAACAACTTGGCAAAGCCTATCTTATCTGTTAAGACCTTTCGTGGAGCTCCCCCAGATTCTTTTGAAGAGTTCCCTTCTTCTGCCTTAGAAGGCTGGACTGGACCCACCATTACTGTAAGAATTAAGTGCCCTGAAGAAAGTGCTTCACATCTCCATGTGAAAAATGCTACTATGGGGTACCTCACCAGCTCCTTAAGTACCAAACTGATACCTGCTGTCTACCTCCTGGTGTTTGTAGTTGGTGTGCCAGCCAATGCTGTGACCCTGTGGATGCTTTTCTTCAGGACCAGATCCATCTGTATGACTGTATTCTACACCAACCTGGCCATTGCAGATTTTCTTTTTTGTATCACATTGCCCTTTAAGATAGCTTACCATCTTAATGGGAACAACTGGATATTTGGAGAGGTCCTGTGCCGGGCCACCACGGTCATCTTCTACGGCAACATGTACTGCTCCATTCTGCTCCTTGCCTGTATCAGCATCAGCCGCTATCTGGCCATTGTCCATCCTTTCACCTACCGGGGCCTGCCCAAGCACACCTATGCCTTGCTAACATGTGGACTGGTGTGGGCAATAGTTTTCTTATATATGTTGCCATTTTTCATCCTGAAGCAGGAATATTATCTTGTTCAGCCAGACATCACCACCTGCCATGATGTTCACAACACATGCGAGTCCTCGTCTCCCTTCCAACTCTACTACTTCAACTCCTTGGCGTTCTTTGGATTCTTAATTCCATTTGTGGTTATCATCTACTGCTACACAGCCATCATCCGGACACTCAATGCATACGATCATAGATGGCTGTGGTATGTTAAGGTGACTCTCCTCATCCTTGCGATTTTTACCATTTGTTTTGCTCCAAGCAATTTTATGCTTATTATTCACCATGCCAACTACTACAACAACAATACTGATGGCTTCTATTTTATATATCTCATAGCTTTGTGCCTGGGCAGCCTGAATAGTTGCTTAGATCCATTCCTTTATTTTCTCATGTCAAAAATCAGAAATCACTCCACTGCTTACCGTACAAAATGCTGAAACCATCTTAGAGAACAAGGACAGCCATCACAGAGAATGTCTGTTTTCACAGACATCTGTTTTCATGGACAACATATGCATAGTGCAAGGAGCTCCATTTCTGAGCTCCTAAGAAATATGCTTCAAGGATCAAACATTACAAAAGCATCAGTAATTTTTTTTTTTTTTTTAGACTGAGTCTCCTCTATTGCCCAGACTAAGTGCAGTGGTACTATCTTGGCTCATGGCAATCTCTGCCTCCTGGGTCAGCCTCCCAAGTAGCTGGGATTACAGACATACATGCCCAGCTAATTTTTTTATTTTTATTAGAGACAGGGTGTCATCATGTTGGCCAGGCTGCTCTCAAACTCCTGACCTCAAGTGATCCGCCTGCCTTGGCCTCCCAAAGTGCTGGGATTAGAGGTGTGAACCACCATGCTGACCAGTATTATTTTTAAAAACACTTTATCAGTATTTTTTAAATGTTAATACAGGAGAAAAGATATCACAACTCTTTGTGGAAAACGACATTTCCATTTGCCTTATTGCAACTTCAGGCTCTTTCATTCTCCATCTTCCCTGTTTCTGTGAGTGGTATTGCCATCCTTGAAATCTGACATCATTTTTTATTCTTTGATCTCTTTTGAGTCTCATGCTGATGGCTGCCTCATCAACTGGCTGTATCTTTGCAGGGTCCCTCACCAGGATCCTTTATCTAGTTCCACCTTTACTTTCTTTTTTCTTTCTTTCTTTTTCTTTTTAAATAGAGACAGGGTCTTGCTTTGTTACCTGGCTGAAGTGCAGTGACCTGATCATAGCTTACTTCAGCCTCCAACTCGGGGGCTCAAGCAATCTTCCTGTCTCAGCCTCCCAAGTATCTAGGACTACAGGCATGCACCACCATATCCAGTGAATTTTATTTTTTATCTTTTGCAGAGATGGGGTCTCATTGTTTCCCAGGCTGGTCTTGAACTTCTGGTCTCAAGCGATCTTCCCATCTCAGCCTCTCAAAGTGCTGGGACTACAGACATGAGCCACTATGCCCAGCCCACCTCTGCCTTCTAACCATTCTCTCCACTGCCAGCCTATCCTCCATTTCACAGGTCCCGCCAGATTATCTTCCTTGGATATCAGTTAGGCTACATCTCTAAAACATCTCTACGAACTCCACTGCTTCTAAAATAAATCATAAATTTTTAGCCTGGCATTCAAGGCTAACTTGCTAATCTAACTTCTGGTTAAACCTTGCTTGTGATGTAGACACCAACCAAACCTCTTGCTCTGCTGTTTCTCCATGCTGCCTCAGACTGAAAAGCTAGTCCTGACGTCTTTGCCTTAATTCTGTCCATTTCTGAAGTCCTCAAAGAACCATTCTTCCCTGATTCTCAGGCTAGCATTGTCATTTTTCTTAACTGTACTTCCAAAGCACTTTCGTACACTTTTTATTATGGCATCTATATGTAGTTCAATTATATTTAAATTTTTAAATTCCATGAACAATCAAACACCATGTATAATGGAGAAGGTGCTCATCCTCTCCCTTCCTTGAACTTCTGGGTGATGCCAGGCCCAAGTCTCTGTGGGGCCCAGCTCTATGCTTTGCATTCTGTGTGGCTGAATGAATTTTTAAAATCTCAAAGCAGCTAAAAAGCCCATTAACTTCATACTGAAAAAGCAACATACTGTGATGGAATGGGATGATGTCATTTCAGGTTGGGTATACAAAAAAATAAGGAAGCTAAAAACTAAGACTATACTTACAAGGCCATTTAGAAGTTTAAAATAATGCCTCCACTATTTTTTCTTCTTAAGCATAGCTTTTAATGGGAAAATGGAATTTTGTTATTAAAACCCATTATATTACTGTAAGTAAATTACTATTTTTCCCTTAACTCAGTGATTAGACAAGAGGGACGATACTAGTGGTGACAAATGAATGGTAGTAGTGAATATAAATGGGGTTGAGGAAACTTTAAGCATAAAGGATTACTGTGATGAATTTACAATTTATCTGTAGGAATCTGCCTTGAGTGTACATTTTGTAATGACCAACAAAACAATAAAAAACAATTTTAAATGCATATTTTTAAATGTGCAGTTTTCTATTTCATTGGACTTAGGTAAGAAGGGTCCACATGAGGACCCTTTATGTGTGTTGTTATGCAAAGAGCAAAAATCAGGTAAACACTAAAGTGAGAATGAAAAACAAATCTAAGGTAAGTTTCAAGATGATAAAAACTTCAGTGAAAAAAACTGACTTCTGAAAATTAAGTCATCAATTACAATACAGTTTTACCTAGGGAAAAAAATACAGCAATACTTGTTAAAAGCACACAATTTTTATGGTATATACGGGGAGCAAAACAGAACTTTTTGGTGGAGTATAATTCTTACGTTCACAAGCAAAGCCTTCAATTGTAAAATAGCACACAACCCAGTGAACAGACATAGAAAAAGTGTTCTACTCTGCTAAGTTGAAGTCAACATGACCATTATTCAAGTCTCTTTCTAAGAGGCAAAAGGAATTTGAAGGCTACACAAAGTTATACTTGAAATACTGCTAAAGAGGACCAAGAATCCTCACTGACTTCCATCACCGTCCTCAGTCTTTGATAAAACTGAGCATCCATTCTATGAAGATGTTACCCGTTGTGACCTTTAATAGCTATATGCTTTGGCACAAATTTTACTTACACTGATAATACAAGCAATATAATTTTCTTCTCTTATTTTCCAAGGCCAGACTTTGGGAAGGCCAAGGAACAGAAATATCGTCATAAACATACAACTGGAAACTTCCAGGAATAAAAATAGTAGAGGATGCCGAATGTGGTGGCTTGTGCCTATAATTCCAGCTATTTGAGAGGCTGAGGTGGGAGGATCACTTGAGCCCAGAAGTTTGAGACCAATCTGGGCAACATAGCAAGATCCCATCTCCAAAAAAAGAAGCAGAGGTTAAAAAACAAACATAAAGACACTGCCGAACAATAGAATTCGATTTTTCCAGAGGAAAAGAACAGGCTGAGAAATCAAGGAACAGAGAAAGAAAACTGTGCTTAAAAGTAGGAATTTAACCAAATATGATTTATTGCATGGATGTGCAGTGTTTTAAATCTGTTAGCAATTGTCAGTATATTTCAAAACCCCTAATTATATAGGCTAAAAGTGGTTTAATGCCTGAACTAGAACCCAGATCCCTAGGCTACATATTAATGCTCTCATCACACCATGAAAGCTACTGCTTCCACACCTAGAAAGGATGCCTGACACAGAGCTGGCATGGTGTGGGCACTCAAAGGCTTCTTTCAAAGGACTCCTGTGGAGTTCCATCTCGATATAGATTGGAATGCCCAGTCTAGAGGAGACCTATACTGCCTGCCTATGAAAGGCCTTGGGTTTGTGGAGTCAGGCTCACCTCAAAGACAAATCCCCATGTGGCTGTGGGCAAACAGGGACATAGATCTGTCTCTGTTTGTCCTCAGAAGACCCCGACTTTAATGAGTGAACAGAGCAGACCCTATGTCTAGTAAGAACCTTGAGGCTGGGTGCCCTGGCTCACACCTGTAATCCCAGCACTTTGGGAGGCCGAGGCAGGTGGATCACCTGAGGTCAGGAGTAAGACCAGCCCGGCCAACATGGTGAAACCCTGCCTCTACAAAAACACAAAAATTAGTTGAGCATGAGGGCATGTGCCTGTAATCCCTGCTACTCAGGAGGCTGAGACAGGATAATCAGCTGAACCTGGGAGGCAGAGGTTGCAGTGAGCTGAGATGGCACCATTGCACTCCACCCTGGGCAACTGACCAAGACTCCATCTCAAAAAAAAAAAAAAAAAAAAGATCCTTGAGATATTGACATCACTCACCTCTTACTTGGGAGGCAGCCATAGGTTCCCATAATAATACTAGCTACATTATTTAAGTCCTTTTTTTGGTGCCAGGCTCCATGCTAAATGCTATACCTACACACATGTGCACATGGTCTTAATTAATAGTACATACAGTTATATATTGATGTATATTTACATATTGTATATTTGCATTGAACCCTTACCATAATTCTTTAAGACAGGTACTATTATTCCAATTTTACACATGGAAAAATAAGGATAGAGAGATTTGGTGACTTGACCAAGGTTGTATAACTAATCTGTGGCAAAGCCAGGATTTGAATGATGTCTGTCTTCAAAGCAAATAACTTTGTTTTGCTTTTCAGTTTACCAAGTGCCATGGTCATAGCCATCTCAGTGGAAACAGCAAGGTGGAAGCCCACTTTCCTCCTCCTGGGATGTGCGGACACCAGACTTGCGTATGAGTCTTCACTCTACCCCCCACTGGCTATACCTTGGCCAGGCATTCACCCCAAGCCTCAGGGTCATTCACATTGGATGAGATAGCACCCATTCCACAGCTGGTATGAGGCTTAAATGAGAAAGACTGATTTGACTGGGGGCACTTGGCAAAGTTCAGAGGGTCAGGCAATGCCACCACCCTTCCGGTCAGAAAGCTGGCAGTGCAGAGGGCACCACCTTGGATGATACCTTCCTCTACCTTCAGTGAGGCAGTAGAGTAGTGAGGACTGGATTTACATTGCTTTTTAAGCAAGATTACACTGCTAAACTTTTAAAAGTTTAGCAGCCGGGCGCGGTGGCTCAAGCCTGTAATCCCAGCACTTTGGGAGGCTGAGGCGGGTGGATCACGAGTTCAAGAGATCGAGACCATCCTGGTCAACATGGTGAAACCCCATCTCTACTAAAAATACAAAAAATTAGCTGGGCATGGTGGTGCGTGCCTGTAATCCCAGCCACTCAGGAGGCTGAGGCAGGAGAATTGCCTGAACCCAGGAGGCGGAGGTTGCATTGAGCCGAGATTGCACCATTGCACTCCAGCCTGGGTAACAAGAGCAAAACTCCGTCTCAAAAAAAAAAAAAAAAAGTTTAGCAACAGTAATTATGTAATACATACACTCCTTAAAAAATTTAAAAATCCAAGCGGTATAAAAACAGAGTGAAAAAGAAATCACCCATCTATACTAGCCTTCTAGTTCACCTTCCAGAAGGTATCCTCCCTCCAGAAATACTTTAGACACATATAAGAGTGTATGTGCCCCTCCCCACAACACATATACAAGTCTGTACTACATTTATATCCACATCACAGCGTGATTCTTTTGCTTAACAACATTTAAGTTGTTTTTGGTGTTTTGTTATTGCAAACAAAGCTGCAATAAACATCTTTTCCCATCTGCTTTAACACATAATTATAATGTTTCTGAATCAGACAGACCTGAGCTGTAGTCTCAGGACTAATTACCTTTTAGAAAGCTTTTATCTTATTTTATTTTATTTATTTATTTTTGAGACAGACCCTTGCTATGTTGCCCAGGCTAGGAGTGCAATGGTGTGATCTCTGCTTGCTGCAACCTCTACCTCCTTGATTCAAGAGACTCTTGTGCCTCAACCTCCCAAGTAGCTGGGATTATAGGTGTGCACCATCACAACTGGCTAATTTTTTTTTTTTTTTTTTTTAAGTAGAGATGGGGTTTTGCCATGTTTGCCACGCTGGTCTCAAACTCCTGGCCTGAAGTGATCTGCCTGCCTTGGCCTCCCAAAGTGCTGGGATTACAGGCATAAGCTACTGTGCCTGGCCATGTCTTAGATAGCTTTCAACAAGTTACTTAATCTTGGTTTCATCATGTGTAAGATGGCAATAATGATGGTGAAATG